TGTTCCTGCTCTCGCTGTCTCTCTCTCTCTGTCAAATAAATAAAATCTTTAAAAAAAAAAAAAAAAGAGGCCACAGTGGTAGCTGCTCATGAGAAATAGCATGATGGGGGCGCCTGGGTGGCTCAGTCGTTAAGCGCCTGCCTTCGGCTCAGGTCATAATCCCAGGGTCCTGGGATCGAGCCCCGCATCGGGCTCCCTCCTCCACGGGAAGCCTGCTTCTCCGTCCCCCACTCCCCCTGCTTGTGTTCCCTCTCTCGCTGTGTCTCTGTCTGTCAAATAAATAAAAAATCTTTAAAAAGAAAAAAAAAAGAAAGAAATAGCATGATGGTTCAGGAAAAGCTACAGGTCCAAAAATCTCTCCTCACCTAGACTTCTTGGTACCTTCAATCCCACTATTAGTACAGATTTCCTTACTGGTCAGACTGGCTTTCTTTATTTACATTGAATTTTTTCTTTTCCTTTCTTTTTCTATCTAGGCTGAGTCCTATATTCAGTTTTGAGGGAGATGCCCAAATCTTCAGGGAAAAGTAGGCACTTGAGGGCCCTCAAAGAGCCATTGGGAAGAAGGTGCTCCTGCTTCGTGAGACAAAGGTCACACCTCACACCCAGGCCGTTGGCTGTGTGAGGCCATAGGTAGAGCTGAGTCTAAGGCTAAGTTCATGAACAGGAATAGGCTCAGAAAAGGCAGCTTGACTGTGGGAAGATCCTGGGATTTTCCTGAAGCCATGTCCACAATCCTTCCCTGAGGTCCAAACCTCCCCTAGGAATGTGAGAGGGCAGGGGAAGGGAAAGAGAGGCAAGAGGGTGCTCCATCGGGCACTTCTCAGACAACATTCACACCTGAACTTGGCTTGTCTCTCCTCATCTTGCTCCTCCTCCTCTGATGTGCTCACGTCAGAGATGGCCCCATCATCCATTCAGGTCCTCCCACCAAATGAAGGGGATGTCTCTCGGTTCTCCTTCTCCCTCCCTTCTCATGGTTGATCCTACAGACCCCACGATCCCAATAAATTTCTGACCTGACCCCTTCTTCTCCATTCCTGATCACCCAGGTTCAGACCTCACCACCTGTCACTCAAGCTTCCCAAGAGCCTCCTGTCATCTCCCTGCTCCCAGCCTCCCCTCCAATCCATCGTCCACATAGATCACCCAGAGTGTGCTTTCCAAAATGCAAATCTCACCATGCCCTCCTTGTCACACAAAATCCCTCTGTGGCTCCCCACTGCCCTCAGGTTTGTCCAAACTCCTTAACCAACCCCCAAGACCCAGCCCCAGTGGGATTCATATTCTCCAAGATTCCTCCCCCCACCCAGCCCTTCAGTTACACAGATCCTCCCTGGTCCCTGCCCCAAGCCTCTGTCTGGGGATGCCCTTACCCTGCCTCTCCACCTGCCATCACCCATTGAAACCACCTCATCCAGGAAGTGCCCTGAGACAGCCTGCAGAGCCTGCAGGGTCAGAATGACCCACCCCTTCTCAGACCCCTCCCCACCTTGTTACTGGGACACTTCTCACATTCTTCTGGGTGCCCTTCTTACCAGACTGTGAGCAGGGATGGGCATTCTTTCTCTCTGTGTCTCCGTCTCCCCGGCCTGGGCCCCGGTGCACAGAAAACCTCAGCAATTATTACTCACAACAACAGACAGAAGGGAAAACACTGATCTCACCTCTGGCCCAAGCCGGGGCCTGGGATGGGGCCAGAGGAGGCGAGGCAAATGAGCTGAACTACACCCGGGGCCCACCTGGGTCCAGTGAAGCACGACCCGTGGTGAGGAGGGGCACTTGGGCTTAAGGGCACCAGATCTGCTGGGGGGCTGGGGGACTGCCACGGAAGCAGCTCAGGGGCCAGGAATGACCCTAGAGAAATACTCTCCCTGCTTTGCTTCCTCCACACCCCCAGCTGGGAAGTAGTCATAACCATCCCAGCCCTGCTCGGTTCCCAGGGGCCCTTTGGAGGGACAGTAACAATGACGATGATGAAGATGAAGCTCCAAGTAGCAAAACCACTATCCACACTGGCATGTACAGGACGCCAGCAGCGTGTCGCCCAGCGCGTTGTGCCGACGATCCCAACAAACGATCACCCTGTGAGCCAGTGCCTTTGCTGCGGTCCCAATTACACAGGTGGTGTTAAAGAGCTTGAATAGCCTGGCTGGGCGCACAGTGGACAGGAAAGCCATTGGTGCACGTGAAAAAAGTAGTCACTTGGAGATCCAGGCTACCTGAAATTTCCACGCACCTTTTGGCTCTGTCTAAAGGATGGCTCCAGCAATCCCTTGCCTCAGCCAGAAGCCTTCCTGAATATCACTGCCTCAGTGCCTCCGACCCCTCCAAGGAGGCCTCCCTGATTATTCCCATTGTACTGACTTTCCCAGCTCAGCCCCCTGAGTATGTAGTGCTATCTCCCCACCCTCCCCCCGCTTATACCTAGTTGGGCACCAGGTCACCCCGGATGAGACTGAGAGTCTTGTGTCCACCCGGGCAAGGGCTCCCTGAGGATGGGCACCAAAATCCCTGATGTGCCCTCACAGCACAGTGCCCAAGCCTGCCCGTCCTACCTCTTCTTGGTGGGGGTGATCTCTGCTGACCTCTTCTCCTGCAGGATGGCAGGGTTCCCACTGGGGACGGCAGCTCTTCTGCCCATGAGGGGCACCATCTCCTTGGGGTGGGCATTCATGGCTGGAGCACAATCATAGCACAGATGCTTAGGTTGAGTGGGCATGGAGGAGCTTCAGGGGGCTTCAGACGCCCATGTGGCACCAGGTGGTCCCTGCTCATACCCCCGGGATGAGGAGCTCACTCTCTACCTTCCCTGGCTGCCAACTCTTCCCAGGAAGAGAGAGACTGTCCCCGCAATTTCTCCTGCTCCCTGCTCCAGCACCTCTGCCCCTGTGCATCTTAGGAGAGCCCAACAGAGCTTCCAGGCAGAGACCACCATGCCCTTAGCTTCTCTCAAGACATCATCTCAACCCACCAATCTTCAGGTGGACTCCCAAGAATTGGTTCTGCTTTTTCCATGTCCCTATCAGATTTTGTGTTCAGTGATATCCTCAACAGAACAGGACTATCACCTCCTTTGTTCTAGACACTATGCTCCTAATAATACAACCTCTGGCCTCTTTGGTGCTTTGGATTTCTTACCACCCTGGTGGTCTCTGAAGCTTAGACACTGATTATCTTTGTCTCATTCACCCAGAACTGAGTGCAACCAGCCTTGTGGCCATCTGTCCATTAGACTCCCTTCTCACCTGAAGCAAGCAGCTGAGCCCCCTCCCCAGAGGCAGAGGAGGCAGTCCCTCAGTCCTGACCTGGTTTACTGATGCTCACTACAGGCTGGATCCCTCTAAGGGGACCTTAGAGGTTTCTATGTAGATGAAGGACAATCCAGGCAGAGGGGACAGCCTGAGCAAAGACCAGGGGTCAAGAAAGTTAGCAAGTGGCAAGGAGCCGGTGTGGCTGCAGAGTCTGAGGAGTTCATGGGGACCACTGGCAGTGAGAGGCTCCAAAAGCAGGTAGGGCTCTGTTGTGAGGGCCTGGAATACCGGTGAGGAGTTGTGGCTGGTCCCAAGGGCAGCAGGGCCTGGGAGGGCCCTGGGTTACACAGGAGACGGCCATTTTAGAGATAGCAGACTGTATGGGGGGTGAAGGAGACTAGACCATGGAGCTAGGAGAAGGGTGCTGTGGGGGCATTGGCATGGGGAAGGCGGGGCTGGCCATATAGGATGAGATGGACAGGGCAAAAAGGCTGCACGGACAGGAGGTGACTCTGCAATCAACAGGGGCCATTCTCAGCTTGAGCAGCCCTCAGAGAACTCCCTCGGGGTCATGGAGGTAGGGCAGGGGACAGATTTCTGTACGAAGAGCCCAGCTATGCAGGGTGGAGCTAGGGCCGCTGGTAATCCTGGCCCAAATAGGAAAGCTGCCTGGAAAAAGTATCGGGAGCAGTTTGTCTTCAGACTACAGTGAGGTCTGGAAACGGGAAAGCTGCCCTCCCCAAAAGTAAGCAGCCCTGGGAGAGGAGGAGTTATCCAGGGGAGGGCTTTGGCCTTGGAGTGCAGGGACCTTGAGGCAGGGACCTTTGAGGAGGGGCCTTGAGGCCAGAGAGATGGAGAGAGAATCATGAGCATGTAGGTCCCTAACTATATCCACAGTCACAGGATGAGGATGGGTGGCCTTTACCACCTTCCTCAGCCCAAAGTAGTCTACGGACAGACAGGGCTAAAAGGCTGAGCTAAACCAAGAGTAAAGGAGAGGAATGGTGGGCATGTCTCTTACCCCTACCGGGCCTCTGTTTTCCCTTCTGATAAATGAGCTGAAAGGACCCCAAGGACCTTCGAGCTCTCACCCATGACAGCCGGCTGCTCCATCCTCCCTGCCCTGGGCCCATGAGTTGGGGCAGTCTTGGGAAGCTGGGGCAGGAGAGGTCAAGAAAACTCTGGGCTGGAGCTATAATTAGCAGTGATAATTGGCTCCCTGAGTCACCCCATAAACGCTGAATTCTCACCTGCGGGACTCTCTCGCTGCCTTGCCCTCCCTCTCTGGGTCTGGGCTTCCCTGCCTGGGAAGTGCCTCCCAAGCCCTGACACTGAATGGAAGACAGGCCAGGCCTGGGGGCCGCAGGGAGCCCCTGCCACCGCTGGCTCAGCCCCTGTGAGGAGCCTGCGCCTTGTCGCTCTCAAGCTCTGGGCTACGTCATCTCATCCGGAGCGCCCCCCTCACACGTCTGCGCTGCAGAACCACAGCTGGGGGCCTGCTGGCGGAGACAAGAGCCTCACCTTTGCCCCTTGGTGGTTGTGAGCCCTTCCCCCTCCCCAAGATCTCCAAACCTCAGGAAAGTTTCCTGGCTCCATCAGAACCTGTGTTCTGACACACTCCCTGGGCCAAGAGCTCATGCCTCACTTTGCTTCTCCTGCTGGAGACCCGAGGTTCTTCCCAACCCCTCCCCCAAGGCCTATCAGCAAAGGGCAGTGTGGCCTAAAGGACACCTTAGGTCCTCGCTCTGGCGTCCCCTCGGACCTTGGACAGCACTGGCCGCCATGTGTGGTGAGGACTCACCTGGTGAGCTCTGGGTGGTGGTGGCTGCCCGTGCTCGGAGATCACCGCATGTCCTGGGCCCAAGGACCCCCGGAGGGACTGTGGCTGAGGCGGCGGGAGGCTCTCATCATAGGCAGAGAGAAGGCTGAAATGAGGTGTCAGAGGCAGAACTGGCTGGGCCACCTGCCCTGGGCGTCAGGCAGGCCACACCCACCAGCCAGAGCTGCAGCGCCTGCCCACCCACATGCCCTGCCTGAGTCACCCCCACACCCACACAGCAGCGCAGCCTGGGACAGGGCAGGGGAGGCGGCAGGTGCCAAGGCCAGAGTTCTGGTCCCACCTCTTCTCTCTCTTGTATTTGATGCTTCCCATCACGGGCCTGTTTCCCCAACTGGGAAATGGGAATTACAATAGCTACTTCACAAGTGTGCTGTGAAGAGTCAAAGAGATCATGCTGGTGGGAGAGCTTAATGAATGGTCAGGTGCTCTGCCCTGAGCCCCGGGAGGACAGGCCACAGCTGAGCACTGGCCTGGTTGATCCCAGGGTGGCCAGCCCCAAGACTTGGTATCTGTCCTTCAAAGTCTGTGATCAGATTCTGTTAGAGACAAAAGAAGTCCCCATTCAAAGCTTACCACCAGAAATTACGCACTTCAGACCTTGGTGTCAGACAGCCTCACCCCTTTCTGGCTATATGACCTTGAGCAAGTCATTTCTCCCATTTCCTGTCTGTGAAATGTGCATAGTAAATCCACCTTGCAGGGGCGCCTGGGTGGCTCAGTTGGTCGAACATCTGCCTTTGGCTCAGGTCATGATCCCAGGGTCCGGGAACGAGCCTCACATCGGGCTCCCTGCTCCGCGGGGAACCTGCTTCTCCCTCTGCCTGCTGCTTCCCCTGCTTGTGCTCTCTCTCTCTCTGACAAATAAATAAACATCTTAAAAAAATAAATAAATAAACTTTAAAAAATAAATAAATAAGTCCACCCTGCAGAATTACTTGAGAAAACACATAGAAAGGACTTGAACAAAGCCCAGAGTCCAGAATGAACGCAATAAACAGTGACAGCTATTAATTCTCACTGGTTTTGTCATCCCAATCCATCCCCCAGCAACCACCTGGGCCACCTGCCTCCAGGCCCACGTTGGGGAAGACTCTGTGCCCTCCCGCCACACGCAGGCTGCAGCTGTGGAGGGGGCGGAGCAAGGCTGCCACTCGGGAACCGCCCAGCTGTCCCGGCTGGCAGACAGGCCTGGGAGGGAGCTGGAAGTCTTGCTGACACTGACGGGGAGGGATTTCCCAGCTGCCCTCTGGGGCAAGTCCCTCCATCCCCCATCACCACAACCTGCCAAGCCTGGGCAGAGGCAGGCGGCAGGCTCGGGCTTTTGACCATAGAGCAGCGGGACCTATGGCCAGTAAGGGACAGGAAACCTGGCTTCGGGACCAACAGGCTTTAATGTGGGTAAAGTGGGGGCTGCTTTTGCAGTTTTACATCAGGGGGTCCTGAAGTTCCCACAAACATTGCCTGAAACTCCTTCACGAAAGCCTGACCTTGGATCGATCATAATCTTCCCTCTAGTAATTAATTTCTCCTTCTGACTCAGCCCCTTGTCCCTCTTAGCTTGCTTCTCGCTGCCTTGGAGCCCTAGGGATGAGGCTGTTGTCCAATTTCGGTGTTTACATTTTGCCTGGTGTTGGCACTTTTTCTCAAAGGCCAGGCTGGAACTGCTCTACAAGTCCCCTGTCCCCACCCGAAGACACGCACTGCGCCCAGCCAGGAGTAAGGGGAGGCTTCTCTGCTGTGTGTGGGAGCAGGGACCAGGTCGCAGACTGAGTCAGACCCACTACCCCCCGCCGCCCTGCTCCCACCCCAAATACAAGGAAACAGAAGCTCCTGCCCCTTGAGCTGGTCTACGTTCAATCCCATTTAATCCAACTCATTGTGAGAGCCCGCAGTAGGAGACAAGGCAGGGAGGCAAGGGCCAGCATAGGGTTCAGAACTGGAGAAGGTGGTCTCCACCCTCGAGACACTGTGGGCCACACAGGAGACAGGCTCAGGCAGGAACCATAACCCCACCAAGCAGGTTGTAAGGACAAAAAGGGCTCAAGTCACTGAGGAGGAAGGAGATCCCATGGGGAAGTGGGGGATGGGCTCAGGGAAGGGAGAGCATTTGGGTTGGACTGGGAATGAGGGAGGACAGTGCACACCGGGACTGGGAGGCGAGAGATCCAGGCACATTCGAGGAGTGATGACGAGCTTGGCTGAGTGACGTACAACCGTGGTGGGGGGATCAGACAGGAGCCGCACATCGGGCCACAGGCCGGCGAGTCAGCCCTGACCCTTTAATCGCAGGAGGCCGCACTGGTCCAGCCTTCTGGGGTACGGGGCCCTGTTGAAGACGCTCTCGCCAATGCGGCCAGGCCGGGAACCGGCCTGGCTCAACTGAGTCAGCTTCTCAAACCAAAGGCAACACTTCCCCAGCAGAAACCCTGGCTGCGCTCGCCTGGGGTTGCCCATGAGCTTGATTCCCACCCTGTGTTTGGGGCCCACACGGCACGGTGGCAGGAGTGTGGAGCCAGGAGTCTGGCCTTGTAGAAGCCAGCATTTGCCCACTCAGCCTTGGCCGCCACATGGGCGACTCTCAGTGCTCAATCCAGTTGCGCCAGTGCCCGGGCACCCAGGAGCACTGACAAGCCGCCCTCCACAGCCCAGCCCCTCACTCCTTGGAGCAGCCGTGAGCCACACTGGGCAGCCCCCCGCCTTGCTCAGTGACTTCCGCTCCTTCTGTGACAGTGCACGGAACAGATAGAGCCGAAATAAAGACAAAAGTGACAGAAGGAACCTTCCAAATGGGCTGTGTGTGTGAGGCAAAACACCAAGGGCAGATGCAGCCTGGGGCCCGGGAGGGATGTGGCAGTGAGAGGTAAAGGGCGGCTTCTGGACATTCCTGCCCCAACCCTGCCTCCCAGAGGCCCGAATTTTAGGCAGGCCCTGGCCATCTGCCAACATACCCTACATGGACGCCCATCTCACCAGACTGGGGTCAGTGTAAAACGCCCCCCAGTGGACATACCAGGCAGGAGTCAAGCACACTCTTACCTCCTCCCCACACCTCCCAAGCACTGCAGACATCAGACCCTGGTGGCAGGTGCACAAGCTCTCCCCTCAAGAAGGAGGAAGGCAAGTGGTCCCTGTAGGGTGAGTGCACCCTAGGAAATGCCCCACTTAGTGCAGTGAACAAGGAGGGAGGACTGGGAGCCAGGCAGAGCTCCATCAACACCCTCAGGCCTGAGCAGACCCCCCGCCCCGACAGTGGTGAGGAGAGGCTTTGTCTGCATCCTGGCAGGCCACAGTTCTCCTTGGGCTAGGAGAGCTGAGCAGCCTGCCCATCGGGGATTCTGGCTTGTGGCTCATCCTGCCTCTAGGTGTTGGGAGGGAGGGACATGGGGACAGAGACAGATAAAGAGACAGTGACAGATACAAAAGGGCAAAGAACAAGCTAATTGCATGTGTGTCCTTTAAACAACACAGGTTTACACAAAAGGTTACAATCATTCATTTTAGAAAAGAACGCCCACAAGATTCCTTCCAGCTCTGAGTAAGTTTTTTTTCTGTTTTGTTTTGTTTTTTAGAGCCACCATTTTTTTTTATTTTAAAAGTATTACAAAAGAAGCACACATGTCATCACATTGCCTATTTTTAGGGTTTTAAAAAATACTTTGATAATTATATTTCAATATAATTGTGATCCTACGTATTCTGGCTTAGGCATTTAAAAACAGTATTTTAGGACCATGAGAGACGACAGACTCTGAAAAACAAACTGAGGGTTCTAGAGGGGAGGGGGGTGGGAGGATGGGTTGGCCTGGTGGTGGGTA